TTGCAGTGGTACCGATTACGCCCATCTGCAATACCAACTGTCTGATGGTACCAAGAAACATGTGTACCAAGTTTTATAAAGATATCTGAATTTTTATTTAAAGTTACAGTTTGCACAGACGGACGGACAGACAGTTACCCGGATTTCAACTCGTCTCTTCATCCTGATCATTTATATATATATATACCTATAACTTTATATATAACTCGATTAGTTTTAGGTGATACAAATAACCGTAAGGTGAGCAAAACTATTATACTCTGAAGCAACAGGTTGCGCGAGTATAAAAAAGTATATAGAATTATAAACACACATCTTAACGAGATGCATACATGCATATGTATGTAGCATGTGATTACAGGATTTGTAAACTAAATGGGTACACAGAAAAATATATTTGAAAAGAAACTTACATCACATATCACATAAAATAGATAACATACGAGCACACACACACACGTACGCACGCATACACGAAAATGTATTAAGTTGTATAATTAAAAACAACCCCATAACGTTTGACATTCACACATGCATACATTTAATTAAAAGATGCTTAAGAACATGCAGAAAAATTGTAGGAAGCAATTCAATTTTGCCAAATTATCCCAAAAAGATAGAGAGTGGGATAACTATCATAACCACCTACGGACATACAAAAAGGTGGTAAGAAAGGCAAAAAGAAATTCGTGGAAATCTTTTTGTAATGACATCGAGAATACGGCAGAAGCGTCTCGACTGAGAAAAATAATGACACAGTCGAAACATAGCATCGGATGAATTCAGAAGCCAGACCACAGGTGGACGGTATCCAGTAAAGAGACTCTAGGCCTACCGAGTTCCGAGAACCTCATAGGGGAGCATATATTGGAGAGTAAAGTGGGCTTAGAATCCCCTCCGCTAGACATAGTGTCAGATAGCAATGTTTATTGGGCAATAGGCAGCTTCAAGCCTTATAAAACGCCGGGACCAGACGGATTATTCCCGACTCAGTTAAAACAGTCCCTGAGCTACACAATAAACTGGTTAACAACCATGCTTAGAGGGGCACTGAAATTAAACTATATTCCCTCGATATGGAGGGAAGTCAAGGTGATATATATACCAAAGGCTGGCAAAAACTCTCACATTAATCCAAAGGATTTTAGACCATTAGTCTCTCATCATTTCTTTTAAAAACGCTGGAGAGACTAATAGAAATACATATAAGGGACAAACTAAACCCAGGAAAAATGGCAGTTTCGCAGCATGCGTATTTGAAGGGTAGATCCACAGAAACGGCATTAAGCTCAGTGGTAACAGAGATTGAAAAGTCTCCGGAAATAAAAGAATTCACCCTCGTAGCCTTCCTAGACATAGAAGGTGCCTTCAACAACATCCAGCCGAAGGCCATATTGAGTGCGCTTAAAGACCTGGGCATCTCTGAGCCTCTCCGGAAATTAATTGAACAGATGCTCTTGGGCAGGTCAATTATTTCAACGCTGGGAGCTTCAACGATGCACAGATCTGTCCGAAGGGGTACACCTCAAGGAGGCGTGTTATCCCCACTTCTCTGGATCCTGACTATAAATAAAATGCTTGTGGGTCTAGAAAAGAAGGGGGTACATGTTGTGGCCTACGCTGATGATGTGGCAGTCTCGGTTAGGGGCAAGTTCCGAACACCCTCGCTAGCCTTATGCAGACAATATTAAACGATATTAATCGATGGGCCGTATCATGCGGACTGAATTTAAATGCTAGCAAGACAGAACTAGTATTGTTCACTAATAAACACAGTACTCCAGAAATCACGCCGCCATTTTTAAATGGCACCAGGCTAACGATAGTAGATAAAGCAAGCTACTTGGGACTAATTTTGGACAGGAAGCTTTCTTGGAAACAAAACTTAGAAGCGAAGGTAAAGAAAGCAGCTACAGCGGTTTACACGTGTAAAAGGGTGGCTCACTGGTTGTACACAGCAATTGTAAGACCGATCATGACCTACGATATATTAGTATGGTGGCCCATTACAGAAAAGAAATATGCGATTAGAAGCATGGAAAGTATACAAAGAGCAGCTAGTATTTGCATCAGTGAAGCTCTCAGAACTACGCCAAGCCAGGCACTCTACATAATTTTACACTTAGCTGGACCTAAATCCGGTTCTCAATATTGCCTTCCCCTCCAGAGAGGAGTGGAAAAGAGACGTAGTGGACAAGGAAGCAGGGGTAAGCTTCTATATGGATGGCTCCATACTGGATAAGCGAGTAGGCAGTTAACGAAAGCCTTCTTGTACTAACAAGAAGTGTATTTATATCTGATGTCTCATAGGATTTCGTCGAAGACAGTGAAAGATTGCCATGATCTTCTAGCGGATCTGTCATCCTATTTCACGGCAAATCTGCAATGGGTCCCAGGACACAGTGACATCCCTGGGAACTGCGTAGCAGATGAACTAGCCAGAACAGGCACCACCCTACAACTAGATCCTGGTAAGGAGGACATAAATATGCCTCTGGCTACTTGTAGATACTTAATCGACAAACATGTCATTAATATAGCCGAGTGTCAGTGGAATCAGTCCCTGACCTGCTCAACTAGCAGGCAAACGTGGCAAGAATGGAATATGAGTCTGTTAAAATTCAAGAGGAATGATATAAGAAGTCTAGTAGGAGTACTAACAGGCCACTGTCTAATAGGCAGACATGCAAGTAGACTTGGCACGCCATATAACGACTATTGTAGAAGCTATCAGGAAGTAAAAGAGGAGGAGACTATTAATCACAATCATCGGTCGTGGGTTTCTTGACGACGTCTCGGAGGTTGCACGGATAAAACTTGTCTCACTGATGAATTTCATCAGAAGTACGGGGTGGTTCAGAGAGGAGCCAATAGAGTCAGGGGACCACAGTCCCAGTGGTATCATAATGGGCCTCCTAAAGGCCTAGGTGTGTCGAATGACAAGCACTTTACCTACCTACTTTAATTAAATAAGTAAGATTTATAAATAGTATATAGGGACAAGCAAATGTGTAATAAAATCAGGATTAATATTCTCAACCCAATGAAGATCTTTATTTTTCAACCACCAGCGGTAGGAGTCTTAAGAATCTTCATTGCGTTTATACACTGTAACAAAATCTGTACGTGATGGAAAATTGTTCCTTTAGATTTGTTGAGTAGTGTTATTTATAATGAAACAATATTAATTAAAAAGCAAACCTGCGTTGACGGGATGAAAGATATAATATGATCGTGATAATTCAGAAACAGTAGTGTTACTCATGTAATGTAGCAACTTATGGCATTTATTGCAAATTGGAAATACCAATAAAACCGTTATCAGTGGCATCAATGGCAATTCGTCACAAATTATAATCAGCTATTGATTCAGAACTCGTTTTCTTGCTATAAAATGGAAGATGTAAGTAAATTCGGCTAACTTTTTAGAATATTAACATATCTCACATAATCCAAGTCGCGAATTTGCCACTTCGACTCTATTATATCTATATGTAAATGCCGAAGAAACATAGTGTTGCAATCACATATACATACTCATATGCTGATGTACAATATATACGGTATAATGTCAACTTAAGGAGAAGGAATTTTAACATTTATGAGCGATAGCCCATGATTTAGGCACAGTTTAAATTGAAAATTAAGAGCTTGTTTACATTGGATCCTTATTTTTAGGGAAATCTTGAAAGTACATGGGGTACCCATTAAATAATATTATAATAAACTACTAAACTAAACTACAGTGAAAATATTATTTACGAAAAGAGGAGGAAACGTTATTGCTTATAAGAATCCAAGGGATAACCTAATGGAGGTTTAATTTTGAAAATGATTGATACAAATATTTGTCAATGGAAAAAGTTATGAATAATAATAGTAATTTTTTCTCTTTTTCTTGGAATTTTGGGCAAGTTCTTATGTTTCGAAAGATATTTTTTTTACATATGAATTGTTTTGACTGTTATCATAATTGAGATATGTATAAACTTTCCTATATTTTAAGTTGGATCAAACTGGACACAGTGTGGTAAATTTTTGCATATGTATATACATTAGATGGGTCAAAAAAAACTATTGTTCTTTTTCGTGTCGTATTCTGAAAGATTGGTTGGTAGGCACCTCTCCAAGTATGAGCTTTTATTTGTAACGGCAAAGTCCTCCAGCCTTACACTTTTTTATTATCAGGTAGAAAAATTCATATCTTGCTTTTAACTTAAAAACGTCATCTTAAATTGCAAAGCTAATGGTTCTAGTTAGGAATTTACTAATCTACAAAAATGGTCACTATTTTCTCTTTTTTGTTGATTTTTTTTCGATTTCCCTGTGATACGCATTGATGTTTGACGATGGATATCTCGTAAACGCCTAACTTAAACTAAAAATTATAAAGACCATTTGTGTAGAGCAGAAAATTTCCGACCGGACTAGAACTATGCAATTTAAAATAATTTTTTTCATTGAGCTATAAAATAAAAAATAAATAAATAGTCAAATTTCAACCGTGAATATCTTGTAAACGGTTAGTTCAACGAAAAAAGCGTATTGGATCTTTTTCGAAGAGCATTTGATTTTCTATAAGATTCACAAAACGATATGAATTTTTCTATCGGATAATAAGAAAAAAATAAAAACTGTAAGGCGGAGGACCTTTCCGTTACAATTAAGAGCTCATACTTGGAGAGGCTTTTTTAGAGGTGTCTACCAAACCAATTTTCCAGAGTACCAAGCAAAAAAAATATTAGTTTTTTTACCTTCCCGTTACAAATAAAAGCTCATACTTTGAGAGACTTTCTCAGAGTACCACGCGAAAAAAAGTAATATAATTTTTGACCCACCCTAATGTACATCACCCTATTAAACCCGTTTCTATTGTGATCTTGGGTTTAACTTGAGTTTTATATTTTAATTTTGGCTGAGTAATTCTAGTCTATTACACATCTTTTGAGTAACATCTACTAAGTGCTACTCTATTTCCCTTTTTCTAATTCTCTTTACAGCACGTGCATACTTGATAGACTCAATGTTCTACATAACACATGACAAACGTTTTGTCGATCTAAACAAGGTCTTTCAGCAATACATCAATTGCAGCTATATTTTATCACATGATTTTTGGAACAAGACTTTTACTCTTACTATTGATTTGACGGTACTTTAAATTCAATAATTAAACGAACTTTTTACCTTAACTAATAAATATATTTTCAGAATATTTCACATTATAATTATGAAAACCCCCAGGCTAAAATCAACCTTTTTACTAGAGGTCATTCATTCGAAATTGATCCAAAAACCGATGTAAGTGAAACACTTTAATGTCTTTAAAATCAAAATAATATTTGGTTTCGTATCTACAATACCCACATGGTGCTCCCGAATCGTGCTACAAAAACAAACCGTAATACCTTTTTTTTAAATCAATGCATTACACCTTTTCTTATTATTTTATAATTTTTATATTTTTGTATAGCAAATTCTATTTTATTTTATATAATTAATTATTTATAAAAATTATGGACCGTAAATGACCTTCATGCTCAGCCACGATTAAGCGACATTTAATTAGAAAATAATTTATTATCGATTTAATGGACTCTTTCAATTCAGTCAGAATTCTGGGTTTTGTTTAGTACACCTCTTGTTTGACATAACCCCATAAAAAAATGCCTGGTGCAGTCAGGTCAGCTGACTTGGGTCAGCGGAAAGTAGAGTTTCTTGATATTAATTAAACCATACGCTATTGAAAAGGATACGTCTTCGGCGCAATTGTGGTTAAAAAAAATCAATCATCCTCTTTAAATAGCGGTGCTCATTGACATTTACTGTTACACCGTTTTTATCAAAGAAGTATGGCCCGACAATATACCTTGATGACACTGCGCACCGCACAATGACTCATTCTGGATGAAGTTCCATCTCGTGGATTATTTCTGGATTTGATTCACTCCAGATACGGCAATTTTGCTTGTTCACCTTTTCGTTTAGATCAAAATGGGCCTCATCAGACAGAAACGAGCAATTTATGAAGTTATTGTCTTCTTTGGCCATTTCAATAAGTTTTTGGTAAAATTGCAGGCGAATAGACAAATCTAGAGAGTTTAACCAGCTTGTTATTTGAACTTTGTACGGAAACAGGCTTAAGTCATCATGAATTATCCATTGTAATGACCGTCTGCTAACTCCTGTTGCGCCGATTAGTTGCAAGTCGAAACTCTTGGATTTGCCTGGATTGACGATGCAACATGTTTACCTCCGTATACTCGGAGGTGTGCCGCTATATTTTCACGTATATTTTTTACAATTCTTTATAATCGCCTTCAAAATTGGCTCCTGAGCCAATATAAGCATGACAACGCTTAACCTAATTTTCCATACACTTGGTATAAGCCGTGGCTGGGATGTCCGGCAGTACCTTCAGCTATTTTGGTTTTTTTCGGGTTCGGTTCAATTGTGAAACGTCATTCGTTAGATTGTTGGATACTTTCGACTTCATATTCATAAACCCGCACCACTTCAGCAATAATGATGTGTCTGATGAATCAACTATGTTGTCAAGCATCTCTTTTGCGACCTTTACTCGACGTCAGATTTGCAAGTAATTCAGGTTTTTTGGTACGAGTCTAGCATTGACGGGCTCTTTAACTAAAAATCGAGCCATTAGAGGTGATAACATCCTCGGCCAGCTCTCTGATGTCAGTACGATGATTTTCAAGCACTGTTTATTTAACTTTTTCTTTTCCGATGTTGTCGTTATTAACAAAGGTTGCCCATTAGAACACAAAACGTCGAAAAACCTCGTTGTTCAATTTAATTTTTCCATGGGAAAAAGACAAATCTTTTGCGTTGTCAACAAACAGCTACAAAAACACTAATGATATATGGAGATCAAATATTAAACAAATATAAAAAAAGGTTTTACCTATCTGGGAAATTTTTTTTATCGATTTTTTTTTTTGCGCGCGCAGTTTAAATGGACCAATCCCCGGTTCAATGCTAAATTTAATTATTTCCAAAATATAAATGCACGTGTATATTTATGAATTTTTAATTTATATATTTTCGGTAGACCATAACGTTTGATGGCATCTCAAATCCTATGCTGCCTATTATAGTTGAAGATTTAATCGTATACAGAGACTCAGATATACTGAAAATAAAATGTGGAGCGGGATTTAATATTGAGTGCAATATGAAGTTTAGTTTGTGTTGGCTGGAACTTAATGGACGTTATTTTGGTCAAACTGCTGGATTACTAGGCACAATGAACAATGAACCATTTGATGACTTTATTACTCCCTCCAACATAATTGAAAAATCAGATGATGTTTTTTCTGAAGCTTGGAACATGAACCGCTGCAATAAAATAACCACCGAACAGACAAATGATTCAAGTACAGAATTCGCCGAAATATGCCACCAACTATTTTCACCTCTAAATCATTGCTCAATCGTCATGGATGTAGAGCCTTTTTTAAATATTTGCATGGAATTGGGTTATATGAATCGGAAAAATCCTAAATATCCATATCTTAAGGGTCCGTGTACTGCAGTATTAGCTTATATAGAAATATGTCAATATGCTAAAATACCAATGCGTGTTCCCCAACAATGTGTAATGTAAGTATACATATGTATATAGTTCATAAATGTATGTACATATACGTCTATATTATATAATATATTATATGTTCCTGAAGACCTCATTCACTTTGTTTTTCATAATAATCTTAAAATGTTTTTAGTCTTATTTTTTAATATTGTAGTACTATATGTATACCATAGATATACGTACTATATATTTTGAATCTTTAAAGCAACTATATCAGTGTACATTAACTCAAATACTGTGTTGTGTATTAATTGTTTGAAAAATGCAAAAAATTTTGAAGCAATAATAAAGTAGAAAGTACTAATTTTAACCTAATGTTTATTATATTGGTGATTTGCATTGATGCATTCACGTAGGCAATGTGTCATTAAGCAAATTTAATTCTTTAGGTTACGAATGAGATGTATTATGTACCACTTCACTTCAAAAGCATTGTTTAAAGTGGTTTTGTGGGCTGTGCTTCTCTATGCAACTTTTTTTTAAACGCCTTCAAATTTTTTAATGGGATCGAAATAGGGGCTCTGGACTAACGACTTTACTATAATTTTACAAGGCCCAGGTCTTGCATAACAAAGTTTTGTTTATTAAGTTCATGTCCGGAAATTATGAAACGCAAACTAAATCTAGTTTCTGGTCTGTTCATTATTGAAAGGCCTATGTAATACATCTTCGTCATCATATCATTAAAAATTATTTCAGTTCACTAACACTTTTAGAAGAAACAATTCCCCCAAAACTATATCAGATATCTTATCAAACTTTACTGTTAGTACAATATTCATTTGTTGTAAAGCTATATTGGATTTTCTCTAAATCCTTGGCTAATCATAGCAGTACATCTTAATTTTAGTTATGTCCCATGTAGCTTTGTTTCAATACTTTGCTGGCTTCTGGATGTGGGCAATGGAAAATTTTAAACGCTTTTCGATATTAAATGCAGAGGACATTTTTATGAGTATTCATAGGTTTTTACATCCGTTGCGATGTTCCCATGCACAAGGTCTTTGCACATACGTCCTCCAATTCAGATACCAACTGAATCAAGTTTGTTTTAGGATTATTGCTTGCATTTTTAAGTATTTTTGATTGAGCAAGATGGTGTGCCTACTGATTGCTCGATTTTCGTTCCAAGTGATTTTCGTTTTTCATCGCGGTAAGTTGGATTAAAAACATTCCAGATAATTTTTAGGAGATGGTAGTTAAAATAAACCAACTTTGTTTCCTAGGAATTAAAAAATATTTCATGTTATTGACTATTTGCACTACACAGTAAAATAATAATTTGTAGGCATACATTGTTTTAAATTTTGCAAAGAATTAATTGACACAATGTGTTTGAGTTATTCAAAAATACATTAGATGAATGCTCTGACTATTGCAAAACCATTGCATGGTGCACGAATCGCAAAGTTTTCCAATCCTACAATGGCACACCAATAAAACACACGCAAAAGAAAACATGCAAAGCTGCAAAATATGCTACACCAAAAAAAGCAAAAAAAATTGTAAACTTGTGCCTGTATATCAAATATACGCACATATGTATATACATTTCGCTGATATTTCGGTTTCTGCAAGAGGGGTGTTCTTCCATAATTATACTCTCGCAACAGGTTTGCTACAGAGTATCATAGTGGTGTTTACCTTACGGCTGTGTGTAACACTTAAATCTAATCGAGATAGATATGGGGTCGTGTATATATAAATGATCAGGATGACGAGACGAGTTGAATTTCGGTTGACTGGCTGCACGTGCAAGCAGTAACTTGAGTGCAAATTGAGATATTTTAATGAAACTTGGAACACATGTTCCTTCGTATCTGAAAAGCTCGGTATTGTAGATCGACATATTTGGACCATTGCCACGCCCACATTACGCTGTTTATCCAAAACCTATAAAACGCCATAACTTAGCCATACAATTAAGATACAAATCTGTAATTCATTGCACAGTGCAAGTGATAACTTGAGTAAAAATTGCGACAGCGTGATGAAATTTGGTACAGGTATTCGAATGGGGGGCGAAGTGAATTCGCGCATTGCAACTCAAAAAATGCCGCGAAAGTGCCGCAACTATACCTGAAGTTATGCTATAAACCTCGATAAAAGGTGAAAACGAGAAAAATTAGGAATTAAAAAGACCCTCCTTATATAAAGCTTATACTGAAAACTACTAAAGCTACGTTTACCTTAAGAAACCTGTTTGAAGTTATAAATTTGATTTAACCAAAGCCGAGCACCTCTTAATTTTAGGGAAAATCGCATATCTCAACAAAATATTCAGTACTTCCCATAAACAAGACAAAACGGTAATGCCGGTAAATTTGAAAACCTTCTAACAAAATTGCAGCTTTTACAGGTGAAGTCAACGCTAGAACTACCTCAATTTGCGGTTGGATTTTTGCCAAGAACATAAGAAAGAACCCCTTCAGATTCACTGTTCACAGCTTGTATCAAACTATCGTACGCAATCCTTTATTTTGCACTCAATTAAGGAACAGTTGTGCGAACTATTGCGGTCAATGGTTCAGTATCGTACTGTTCTCTTTGTAACTGAAAGTTAAATGCATCTTGCATATAACGATGGAGTGTTGTCAGGCAAAAACATGTCTTTTATAATGATCAAAGTCTTATTGTAAACTTCTGCAGTAATTGGTAGTGTAGAAAATTTTGAGAACGCATACGTTGTAATACATTCTTATGTCATCCCTATATTTCATCCAGGATTCGAGTAGAAAAATCAAGAATATTGACTTCTTCTTTACTGGCGTAGACACCGCTTATGCGGTTATAGCCGAGTTAACAACAGCGCGCCAGTCGTTTCTTTTTTTTCGGTATTTGGCGCCAATTCGAGATATCAAGTGCAGCCAGGTCCGTCTCTACCTGATCTCTCTATCGGAGTGGAGGCTTTTCTCTTCATCTGCTTCCACCGGGGGGTACTGAATCGAATACTTTCAGCACAGTATTCGAAATTACCAAAGCGCAAAGGATCATAAATATTCCGCATTGTCATTGTCTATGCCTCCGCACCATATAGCATGATGGGAATTAAGAGGGCCTTGTAGAGTTTGGTTTTTGTTCGCCGAGGGAGCACTTTTCTTTTCAATTGCCTACTCAGTCCAAAGGAGCACCTGTTGGCAAAAGGGCTGTGTTGGATTTCAAGGCTGATATTGTTGTTGGTGTTAATACTGGTTCCAAGATAAACGAAGTTATGTACGACTTTAAAGTTATGAGTGTCAACAGTGACGTGTGAGCCAAGGTGCGAATAAGATGACTGTTTGTTTGATGACAGAATATATTTCGTTTTGCCCTCGTTCACAATCAGACCCATAAACTCCTTCCTTATCTAGTCTGGAAAAAGCAGAACTAACGGAGCGGTTTTTGAGGCTGATAATATCAATATCATCGGAGTACGCCAGCAGCTGTCCGCTCTTATAGAAGATTGTACCTTAGCTATTTATCTCTGCAGCCCGTATTATTTTCTCCAGCAACAGATTCAAGAAGTCACACGATAGGGAGTCTCCTTGTCTGAAACTTCGCTTGGTATCGAACGGTTCGGAGAGGTAGTTTCTGATCCTGACTAAGCTCAAGCAAGTTCAGACAAAGCCGCATAAAGGCAGCTCCTTTTCGTGCTGTCGAAGGTGACTTTAAAATCGACAAAGAGATAGTGTGTGTCGATCTTCTTTTCGCAGGTTTCCAAGATTTGGTGCATGGTGAATATCTGGTCGATAGTAGATTTTCCGTGTCTACAGCCACACTGATAAGATCCAATCAGTTTGTTGACTTTGGGTTTTAGTCTTTCACACACAACGCTCGATAGGACCTTATATGCGATATTAAGGAGACTTGTCCCACGGAAATTGGCGCAATTGTGGGGGGTTGGCCACAGCATATTTAGGTTCCAATCGTCGCCGCTATGTTGCTATTCGAACCTCTTCATTGTCGGGCAGTGGACCATCTATTCCATCGTCATTAATTGGGGAATCGGGTTCGCCATCATGCGATATTAAACTTTCACTGTCATTCAGTAGGCTGGAGAAGTGTTTCCTCTTTAACTTGAGTATACTATGAACATCAGCCACTAGATCACCTCTTTGGATTCTACAGGAGTATGCTCCGGTCATGAAACGTTCCGTTACTTGCTGTATCTTTTCGTAGTATTTTCGAGCATTACCCTTGTTGGCCAGTTACTCAAGCTCTTCATACTCACGAATTTCGGTTTCTTTCTTTTTTGTCTACATATGCGTCTCGCTTTCCTCTTCAACTTTTTGTATCTATCCCGTGCAGGGTCGTGTTGTGGTTGATCGCAACATTGTAAGATAGGCCTTCCGTTTTCTCTCCACTGAGGCATGATAGTCGTCATCGTACCAGCTGTTCTTTCGACCTTTCCGAAAACGGGAGCTGTATGTAAGGAGCTTAAAATGCCGTTCCACAGCTCCCTTATACCGAGTTGCTGATGAGTACACTCAGAGAGGAGGAGTGTAAGTCGAGTAGAAAACCGTTTAGCTGTCTGTTCGGATTGTAGCAATATTATATTTGCAAATAACGTTTGAATTTAATGCGGCGATGAAGATAGAACGGAATCCTTGGGCATAATATCTCAATTCCAATCGTTCTCGAGCAACTCTAGTAACTAGTTGACATGCCTAACGATAAGTCGGACACAGATATCCATCAACTGTTCTCAGTTGTTTAATAACGTCATAATGGTTACAGAATAATAGTTAAGTTTATAAGTTTTCGTTTGACATATGACTAAAATATAAACATTCGACAACCCACTAACATCCGAAATGTTTTTTTTTTCATTCCTCCAAAAGAGATAGTGAGTGTGCTAAACAACAAAATAAATTTTTCTTTACATACCAATCATGATTTATTATCTCCCTCTGAACCGCAATATTAACTATATGGATCCAGTATTTCTCGAGTTCTGGCTAGACAAACGAACAGCAATTAATTTTTATATACATATGTACGACATAGAATATTATACCAAAAATATCGA